GGACAATATTATTCATGGGAGATTTAAAAGCAAAAGCTTCACAAGCAGCGGCTTGAATGTTCACGATGAAGCAACGAATATCTGGCTTTTAGTCTGCCTTGTTTTAAATTAATGAATGATGAGGAGCTGTTTATTATTTTTATCTTTATTCTTTAATTTCTACATAACTTGTCAAGACTAGATTGCTACCAACCCACACACCACGATACTTTTAACATTTCAGAATAAATACAAAGTTTCAATTTCCGGTCTCTGATTTCTGATTAAAAGACAACAGAATTCAAACAATAAAGTCTCTATTTTTTCAATTGCTGCTTTTCTACCATCATGTATCAGGTTGCATGAAAAGTATTAGTTTAAAGTTCTGTAGAGGCTGACAGTCGAAGCCAGAGATATTATTGACTATAAAGTTTTAAAAAATGCTGACAAAGGAAGTTTTTAGACTGTGGTGAATCAAAGAGCTAATCCAGTCACTGTAGGTGAATTATCTGTAGACTTCATCTGGGTTCATAATTGGCCTCAGCTCACTGTCAGTGCCATCACTGTCTGCATCCCGCAGCTAACCACCTCAGTAATGCACTGATAACATCAACAATAATAGACAGACTGCAGCAGCACAGAAGGGGGGGGGGGGGTGCACACAAAATGCCCAACTTGACGAATTATAAAAATAATTTATAAGAAATCTGGCCACATATAGCTGAACACTAATCAGATAAAACAACAGATTCCTGTTCCAGCTGTGTTTGTTTACATTACTTACATCTCTGTAGTAACCAGCAGGCTATAACTGAATTTAATTGTGGCATACCTCATCCTAATGGATGGAAAGTGGGGAACTAGCTGTTTGCTTTTATTTATTTTTTCTCAAACTCCACAGTAAATGAACAGACATATTTAAATCAGTTATATGTGTTGAAGAATGAAGTGAACAAGAACAAAGGACGGGTGGTCAGAAGCCCTCAAAGCTACGGCTCAACAAACACATCATTCCAGTCAGCATTTAAATGCAAATCACATTTATATTTTATTTTATATTTGTCTCATTAGTACTGCGTGACAACAATACACTCTGAAGTGCTGTCAGGTCTGTCTATTACACAGCTAACATCTGCATGAGGTGCAGCAGGTGTCCAGTAAGGAAATACAGTGAGCGAGCAAGTCGTTATATTCAGTCAATGATTTATATGTTGCTTTTCTTAAATAAAGAGATGTCAATGTTAGTTTTATTTATATAGCACTTTTAAAATCAAGAATGTGGACCAAGCTGCTTCACAAACAAGAGATGTAACGGAAAAAAAGAAAGAACAAACTTGTACAATGAAAAAAGGCTAAACAAAAACAAGAAAAATGCACAACTGAAAGGTCTGGATGGAACCCAGATTGACCTTGAATTGAAAGCAAGTGTAAAAGTAAGTGAGTTTTTAGGTGGGATTTAAAAGACTGAACAGATCCTGCTGAGTGAATATTAATGGACAGGGTCTGGGGGGACCGCCACTGCAAAAGCCTGATCCCTTCTGTGCTTTAATACACAAAGACTCAAGTAAAGACACAGAGAGGTGGAAGGAAAAAGGGGAGCAAACCTTACAATTAAGTGTTTATTATCATTTTTTTCTACATGTAATAAATCATTAACTAAGTTGTTATGAAAAAACTAATTTCTGCTTGTGTTGAATTCCCATCCTTCATAGTGGTAAAAATGGTTGAAATAAATAAAGAATTTTGTTTTTCATGTCTTATCTGTCTGTATAACTCAGGTAAATCTTATCTAAGGTTCAAACTGACCAGAATCCTGGATAATAATGTCCAAAGTCCAATTCAACATTTATGACTGTAGAGTCAGAGAAACTACAAATTTAATTTATTTTTCCAATATCACCTGGCTCTGGTTTAAAACTAATTTGATTTGACAGATTGAGTTGTGAAACTGCTGCAGTAAGCGTGTGTTTTGTAACACCCGCTGATCTGATTTCGCTCATAAAAAGTCGACAAGCCTAAACCACAAGAGACAGTGCTTCTCAATAACGCCGTTTCTGCTGCTGCGTTCAGCCTTTTAATTTCCTCTGAAATAACTTTATACAGACAAAAGTCTAATGAATCGAGAGACATCTTCAATCAAACAACAGCTTATTTAAAACTTTAGCTGTGTTACTTTGAAAAGAACATTCTTCCTCCACTACATCAGGGTTTCTGCAACCTTTACAATCAAAAGAGCCCTTTCTCCTCCTTGGCTCCCAAGGCACAAAACATGTTACAACTGTGATTATCAACTGGTGGTCCGTGGGCCACTTCGAGTTCGTTGAATGGGGGCCTTTCTGGTCAGTGAGGGTGACATTATAAAGCAAAAGATATATAATACATTTTAACATTTATTAATATTTTTTACACTTTAGGACAAAAGAAAATACCATATTTACAGAGGTTAGACAACGAAACTGAAACACGTGGTTTTAAACCATAACATCCCTTTCAGACAGCTTCCTCTTGTGTCCACAGTTAATCCTGTTGGATGTGGTTGGTTCTTCTTGGTGGTATGCTGACATTCCCCTGGATAATGTGACTCTTGATACATCACAAAGACTTGCTGTCTTGGTCACAGATGCACCACCAAGATGTGCACCAACAGTTTGTCCTCTTTTGAACTCTGGTATGTCATACATAATGTTGTGTGCACTGCAATATTTTTGAGTAAAACTGCTCTTACCCTGCTAATTGTATCTTCACACTCTGCTCTTACTGGTGCAATGTGCAATTAATGAAGATTGGCCACCAGACTGGTCCAATTTAGCCATGAAACCTCCCACACTGAAATGACAGGTGTTTCAGTTTTATTGTTTAACCCCTGTATGTAAACAAGAAAAATACAGTATGTAGTTTATACCAAATTTAATAAAAAAAAAACTACAACCAAATTATGCAGTTTTTTTTCTAATTCTTCTTATTATCTAGTCTAGTATTAAAGGGCTTTAACAGTAGCCCTGATGGATTTGAGAGAAAGAGCCTACTTTAAGTCTGGAAGTTGATCTAATCAACATGTTTCACTCATTGTGTTATTGAGCACATGATTGCAAACAAATTGAGTGTGAGTGTACTCACGTTGTGAGTACAAAAACCAAAAAAATGCCATCTCATGTTAGTTTTGGTCAAGAACCACTGTAGAGGGACCCAAGAGCTGCATGTGACCCCAGAGCCACAGGTTGCAGACCCCTGCACTACATTAACCTGACTTGTGTAGAACTTTGTAGAGGATTAGGATTTAATACCAGTTATCAAATGAATCAGGAACAACGAAAATACACAAATATTAAACTATATAAGTCAAGAGAATGAGAGAAATCTACTGTTAGATCTTAAGGCCCTGTCACTAACGTTTTAAGTTTATGCCAACTTATGAAACTTATTTTGGACGAAATTACTAATAAAAGTTTTGATCAATTTGTTAGCATTACAGTACAGTATGTATTAAGAGTACACGCCTAAAAGAGGCTTCCAGATGATTTTTAAAATTCCATCTTCTACGTAAATTTTGCAAAATTTTCAAGTTGGAATAAGTTGACTAAAACATTTTAGTGTGACAGGGCCTTAACCATTAAATAGAAAATTAGAGAACATATTTAATACCTGCTCACAAAACTAATTAATTACTGTACATACTTTTACTTCACTGAGGTTTAGGTTGTAAGTAAATGAGGCAATGATCAGAAATAATGTTGCTCCACCAACATAAAACTTGTGTTTTGGTAAAATGCATGGTGCAAAGCAGAAAAATCAAGTTGAATAAGAAGGAAATATTTACTCTGTCAGATAAATGACATTCTGATTTCCCCTTGATTGATTGATCGTGTCTCTTTCATAAGACATGGTCCCCTATCTCACAACATGTTGACAGCGACAGCCGTGACCTGAGTATAGTTTACACACGAGGCAGGAAATCATTCGTCATCCGCTGTGAGATTACCCAAAATGCCCCACAGCACCCGAAGACATGACTCAAAGCAAAACACACAGCTTAAGGTATCCAAAAACAATGTGCATGTTTCAATGAAGAATGAATAAGTTTAAGGAAAAGAAGTCGTGAAAACATGCTCAGGAGTTTTCTATAAGTTTCTCAGCAGATTTTAATGCTTGAGACTCAGACACAAGCACCTAAAAACACAACTCTGTGTTGTGCACAGGCTCAATGAGGGTGTGTTCCTGCTTTACAGCCCATAAAGAAAGACCACTTCATACACCCGTCTATCTAAAGTCCATGAGCTCTGGGAGTTGCAGCTCTGAGAGGGCATGTTGCACCACACTGAAAAATCTGTCACGTCTGTCTGGACAAAAGCACAGTTGTTGACTTAAAAAAACAGATAATAAACAGAGCAGAAGTCCTTTTTGTACACTTATAGTTTGTAGGTCAAGTCCTAGTTTTCCCCGCTGTCTGAACACACAGTGACAGCTCCAGACATCTCACGGCAGAGAAAGTTTTTTCACCTTCACAGTTTATCTAATAAAACTTGTTTGAATTGTTTCCCACGCTGCACATTACTTCCAGTTTGAAGCTGAAAGTAATTATAGACAGTGGCCTTTCTTATCTTTACTCTGTGAGCAACACTCAGCAAAGCTGGCGCTGAATCACAGTTCTGTTGAGACGAGCTGGCCAGAACGAGGAAAAACAAAACAAAACAAAAAAACTTATTTTTGATTTTCCCACAAACGAAGCTCTAATGACAACTGCTTGTCGCCACATTTAAAAGCAACGTAAACATTTCCCTCACTTCTTGTTTATTGCCTGTTACAACTAGATGAAGAGTAATAACAAAAAACTGGCTTGTTGAGTCAGAAACCCTGGAGAGAGTGGCAACAAGTTAGCATTAATTTCAATCTATTTTTAACTAATGAAGGGTTGTTATTCTGGGGATGCCCAAACAGGGGACTGCTGAGTACATGAGAGAGTCTGAGTGTGTTTCTGTCCGTCTGTCTGGGGTTTTGTTGATCCAAACACTGAGTCTTCTTACCTTCCATGGATGGAGCTTGGTCCTGGGCAGCGTACAGCATATCCTTAAAGGCCTGGTGACATGAAAATCACAATTACTCTCTTCAAATACTTCAAAACTTCACATTTGTTTCATTTTGTTGGTTCTGAAAGCATATGTTTTGCAAAAACAATGGGCAGAATAAAACCTGTGAAATGGCTAATCGTTAAAACCACTGAGTCTGTTACACCATTTACCTTAAGGTAAACTAAACACCTGCTCAGGGTTTAGTTAAATCCCATTAATGATCACACCAACACGAAGTAAAAGACCATTTTGCACAGTCACTACAGCCTTAAAAATGTCTTCAACTTTTAAGAACTCCTGCAATTTTCACATTAAATCTGATTTTCTTTATATTTACTAACTCAGCTTTTTTTTACACCTCAACAGAAAGGGCTGGGTGATAATTCAGTAATCATATATTGTATATCATGATAGACACGTGTTTTATATCAATAGAAAACACGTTTGATATAATATCAATAATTTCACTGGTTATTAACTGATAATGGTTGATAACGTTCTGATAAAATAAGCTAGGAGTTTCAGCTAAACAACACCAGGAAAGCTAGGACTCACCGTCAAAATAAAAGCTTCAAGCTGTTAATAGACGACAAAAGCCCACAAAAAATTATTTCCTGTACTTTATTTTAAAATGTGTAACTTGGGTTTCGTTCCCCCTCTTGTCGGCACATTTAAGAGATAGAGCGCTAGCATGCTGGACAGGACCACCATTGTAGGGTAATTATGAAATTAATAGACCACTTCATAGTTAGAAATAATCATAAATGAAATGTGCATGCATGAAGCGGGCCAACCTCATGTTTATCGGGAAAAAAGCAGAGGTTTTTATGAAAACGCCACTGTAATTGCCCAAATTCAAAAGGTACAATTTACGCCGTTAACTTATTTGTGTTAAACTTTCCTTTAGGATCATAGATGAGATTTTTCACAAATATCTAAATGTGCTTTTTTGAGCTTGTTGAGTTTGCATAATTATGTCTTCATATAGCAACCAGTTTTTGTCCAGTTGACCTATGACCCGGAAAAACTAGGCTTCACCGTGCGTATTTTTGACAATTTCTAACTACAAAATGGTCTATCATTGATTGCGGATGCTGTTACACTGAAATAAGGCATCTAAAAACTGAAAAAGGTGTCAATATGACACCCCAACAGCTAAAGGCCTGCAGCCAAACAAGGTAAGCTAGCAAACAACCTGTGGAGTAATGTGCAGCAGCAGTTTCATGTTTCACCACCGTGCCTCGTTAAATGCTTAAAAATAAAAAGAACGACCTAGAGAAAAGAGAAAATGAGTGCAACAGCTCAAGAGTAAATTGTGGATAAAAGAGGAAAGGTCATTCAGATATTTTAAGTTCGACAAAACTCGGACTGACGTTGTCTAAAACTAATCAATAATTATCGATATCGACCAATATGAAACATTATTATCATGATCATCCTAACAGTAAAGATGGTTCAAATAAGTATATTTATAATAACTTTATGACTAAAACTATCATTATTATGGGTAGGGAGTCTAACCTGATATTCTTTTTGTTTGCTGTAAACAAATTATTGGGATTTCAGTTGAAAACGTTTTGCATCTTGTCCTTCAGGCAGTCAGGAGTATTTCTAGTTGTGAGAAAAAATCTCGAGTGGACAAACTCCTGTTTGCATTTGTGAATAAAACTTACATTCTTGCAATGGAAATGAACACTGATAATAAAGATTACGTGCGATGCAAGTTCTCTGAGGTTAAAGCCTACTTTATTGATGTCCAACAAGGCTGTAATAACGATGTGATGGTGGGATAACATATTCTGTAACTGTTTTAGCAACTGATCTTTGTGTATGAGAATAACTATCATAAGAGAAGCATTCAAACCTGGATTTAATGTAAAAAACAATCTCATTGTCACTTAAGTGATGTTGATTTTGTCCAGGGTTAACTTGTAACACCTGCTTTTTTAGGAAGATGACAGTGAGGAAGCACTGTGGGAAATCCAAGGAGTGGGTGGAGACCAGTCAAAAATAAAGTGCAGCAGAAGCAGCCTGTTGATAACTGAGCCTGAGTCTTACTGTAAACTGCACAAACAACGACAGTCCACCACTACAACTACGTATTCTCCAGTGGGGACTCGTTTTGTTATGCTGCCAAGAACAATGGAGCTGTCGAAAGGCTGGCTAGTAACTACTGGTCAGCGGCCAGTGCAGCTAAAAACTGTGAAATTGTGATTTCTAACAGAAATTGGGGGCGGGGAGAAAGGCATTGCCAGATGAGACAAGAAAGGTGGGCCTTTTAGCTCTTCAGGAAACTGATTCAGAGCTGCAGACTTATTTATTAGTGATCCAGCCGTCAGTTAAAAATGTCAAACTATGACGAGGACGCCGATCAGGATGTTTCAGTGGAGACCCATTCTTATCCTGCACAGATCCATGGCTAGAGCAGAAAGCAGTTGGATGACTCGAGCCTGCCGCTCTAAGTGGATCCCGACGTGATGGGAAGTGGAGAGGATGTAAGGAGAGGCTGAAAGAAGGGGAGGAGTGGTGCAGAGGGCAGGTCTGGTGAGGGACCAGATGTCTTCCCAGTGGGGGAGGAGTGACGAGGAGCGGGTGGAAGGGAGGAGGGAGGTATAGAACGGCGGGTTCTCAGCAGTGGCCGTGCCTGTTGTATACATAATAATCATATCGCACATGAATCACACTGCCACCGCTCAGGATGCACAACAATCGGACCGTTGAGCTTACAGTTTTATCGCGATGAAACTAAACTCCTCTGATTATGATCATGTTATTAACCTTTAAATGAGCGAGAATCTGTTTATGAAATCACACCTACGCTTGCTTTAAGTCGGCTTGATTTTTTAATAGTTTGAGCAGTAAATGCATCCTCCTCCTCCTCAAGCTTACATGAGTGATCAGGCTGAGGAAGCAAACACAGAAACGGCCTTCATCTCTCGCCCACACACTCACACACACCTGAATCCTACTGGGGTTTTTTTTTTCTGTACGGAACCAGAAATCACATCTATTGGCATTTTCCTGAAGTCTGTAAAACCTTAATTTCAGTTAATGAGAGCCAACTTCAGTTGTTTCATATTGAACAATATTGTGTTACATTTTTTCCCCTCATCAACATTCATGTCCTGCTTTAGGTATGAGCCTCATGAGAGCGCTTGCCCCCCTTGCACACATCTATTTACCATATAGCTTCGTACCTGCAGTCCCACAGGATAAAGGGCACACCTCATTATTCTTTCACTCAATCACCTTGTCAATGTGTCCACGTTCAAATGGAGTGACTTACTAATTAAAACCCGTGTTTGTACCGGCAAACACGGGTTTTCATTTTTTGCTTCTTCCCTTTTCTCTCTGCATAGAAACCAACTGACCAATCTAATCAGACTGCACTCAGTTTGCTACACAATGAACCGCAATGACAAAAAAAGGAGGAGAATGAATGAAGAGCAGACAGCAGGTTAATGAATATCGACAGAGGAAAGACAGAATGTCGCTTCAACCACTTGCAGCTTATTTGCCAAAACAGAGCGAAAATCAAAAAAAATAAATGTCTAAGTTTTGTGAACAAATGATCTGTGCTCATTAAGATGATGTCAGGGTGGCTTCAGGAGAACACAGGGGAATGTTGAGATAAAAACTGTTTTCTTTCTTGACATTTACTTTTGTTTACCCCTTGCCGGAGATGACTTTTCAGCTTGTTGGGTTTAACATACATACAGGGGAGGATCTGTACATCAACAGCAGACATGAGCTGTCTACTTGCCCCACCCACTCAGGTGATAATGGTGTTTACAGAAGTCAGACAAAGACTGAGAGCTCCCACAGAGGACCACAAACACATCCTTCATCCACAACTTCTATTCTGATTTCTCATTTACGAAAAACCACCAAATGTTTGAAGAGTGACGCAACTCTTGTTCTAAAGCAAATCTTTAAAGTAGTCATGCTTGATGAGGCTGCAAACGCCATAAACTGTCAGTGATTGACATGACTGATGGAGATCAATGTTTACCACAATCTCACGTAAAGCACTAATCACTTCTTTTTGAAGCACCTTAGACACCCTAAACTATACTGATTCATAAAACGCTATAAAATTATAATTGAAATTGTTAAATTCTGCTGATGAGCAAAAAGCTGAAAACACAGATGACAGAAAAAAATCTATCATCTTCCATCTCAGGTCAGTGAGCGGCGCGGTGAAGATTGGAGGTGTAAAATGGCTGGTATGGCCATGCATCTGTCCCTGGGCTCAGTGTGAATACAAAAACACCACATAGTCTTTACATGTATGTAATCTACAAATACCCTCCTTTCATCACCTTCATTAATTGTCTACTTTTATGATTTTTCCCCCCTCAATTTTATGTGAGGTCTTCATTTCTTTTATTACTCAATGAAAGCAGCGCATGATTCATGTCAAGATGAAGAGCCTCCAATGGCGACTGCAGCCCACTTTGAAGCCTGATCATAATATTCAGAGCATGTTTCCAAAAATGAACCGGGTGCAGTGAGTTTGTGTTGGGTCTGGCGCGCAGGTTGCGCAGGGTGAAGAGAACGTGGGGTCTTTGTCTATAATTCATAACGTTAAATGGAACTCAGCGGCACGTCTGCACTGAAGCTGGATCCACGAAGAAGTGGGTTGTGAAAAATAAAAGGCTCCTCAAAACACTGTCCGGCACAAAGCGTGTGTGTACAAACAAAGATCATGAATCTGAGTCTGCAGATATTGTGTTGGATGAAGGTGATCCAGACTGACCCACTGTTTCAAAGAAGAAAACATTTAGAAATTTGAAAGAGAATAAATGCATGCCTCTGTTTTCAAAGCTGAGGTAAAAGAGGATAAATATTAGGATTATAAATTAAAAAAAATAAACTAATTGGTGTCTCGGGGATTGTCATTGTAATTAGTTAAACAGATCTTATTTTTAAATGTAAGGCTTATGACAAAATAGGTTGCTTGTTAGAATTAGGAATCTGAACCGAAAACAGGTTTTTCTTTTTAAAAGACAACCTCGTATCTACAATGACACTAAAATAAAATTAGAAAAAAACAAGTGTTTATATAAAAAATAACTAATATTTGTTCCAAGCTTAAAGTAAAGCACTACATCTGTACATTTTAATATTCATGAAGTTGCCAAAAATTTACAAAATTAAATTATTTTTTTCAAGAATTCAGTGAGTTAAACTGTTGATTTAATTCATTTTTGGTTTTAAATTAAGCACACAATAAACACCGACTGCTCCCCATGGCTCTTAACAACCGCAGTCCATTCAGCATTCATAAACAATAGGACATCCTTATTTTACCAGTCCTTTATGGCTCTCAAGAGAAAGCTGCACTTGAATTGAAAAATATAATTAAAAGATCCTGTAAATAAAACCGTGAGAGGTAACAGAGTTTATAATAACTGTTCTGTTTTAGTTTATTATAAGGGTTTGACCCCCCCCCCCCTTATGTCCACATGTACAGTTATTATTTTAATCACCAATAGAATAAATTACCTCATACTGGAGATATTGCTTCCTCCACTCTGGAGTGATGTGGGACGCAAGATGCTCTGCGAATTTCATTGTTTTCCTCCGGAACAAGTGTCCCTAAAATAAAAAGGAGCTGTGTTAAATCCTGGAGCGCTTGTCCCCCCTTCGGTCGACGCGACTTTTGTTCTGTCGGGGCAACTTGCTGCTGGGTTTGTGAGGAAGCTCCGGCTTCTTTCCACTTCAGGCTCGTCCGGCTCCGAACTCAGCCATGCTATTCCCGCGGCGGGGGTCGGCGGTGGCGGCGGCCTCTGTAGAAACAGGTGGTCGGACAGGAAGAGTGTGAGAGTGCCTCAGCGACTTTGCTCGGTCCCTCCCTGGGCCGCTCTGGGGACATTACGGTCCGCCATGGAGCGGACTACACTGACGTGGTTGCGTCAGCAGAGCGCGCAGTGGCACCGGGCTGAGCGCTGCGCTGCTGGGACCTCCTGCTGCTGGCTCGGAGTCCACATTCCAGTGTTTTACTTTTATTCCGTTTTAGAGCCTTTTCACATAAAAGTGATGCTTCGGGAGCGTGTGTGGTCTGCAAATAAAGACGGGAAAAGTTACTTTTCAGCAGATTTAAGAGGAGTATCTGTCAGATAAAATGGATATAACGCATCAAATAATTAGCCAAACATCAAATGTGAGAATTAATTACACATTTTAATTACTGCGAAGCAAACAAAAGCCATATTAAGTGAATTAATCATCTGTTTTGATTAAGTGACAAATTTTCTTCTTGAAGAAACTTTACTTTAAAAACAACAACTTTCAAATACTTTCTTATCGGGAGCGGACGACCTCAAAGGGGCAATGGCAAGGCAGGAATAAAATTAAGGTCGTTCAGTTTAATAGAAAAAAGAATTGAATTAAAAAAAAAAATCCCTAAAATAAAATAATATTTATTTGAACAAATTAGAGCAGCAGCTATTTTTAATTTTCTAATCACTTTAAAGCAGAACACAAGTCATGCATTATCTTTATGATAAAATAGTTCTGTAAAACGTTTAAAACGTATATTTTTAATTGTTTTTAATAAAGTGATGCTAAAGACAAGTTTAACAGCTGGAAGAAAGGACTTTATTTGAATAAACAATAGTTAGTTTAAACAACTTTTAAGACGTAACCACCTGTTTGTTTGTCAAAGTAGAGTTAATAAGAAAAACATCAGTTTTTCTTTTTTCTTCTATGCTTTTTTAAATAACTTGATTTAATCTATTAT